GCCTGCCTCTGCTTCCCAAGTGCTGGGATTAAAGGCGTGAGCCACCAACGCCCAGCTACAGTTTCTAATATAAATTGATAAATTATAAATTCAAAAGACCCAGAATGGGTCAGTGGTGTGTGTGTGTGTGTGTGTGTGTGTGTGTGTGTTTGAAATAGTGTCTTTCCATGCAGCCCAAGCTTGTCTAGAACTCTCTATGTAGCCAAGGTTGGCCCGGAACTCATGATCCTCCTATCTCAGTCTTCCAAATGCCAAGGTGTGCACAACTAAGTCTGCTCTGCTTCCCCTGACCAAACCCTGAGAAAGGCAAAGCTGCAGGAGTCGTTTGCTGCTCAGTAGCTGCAGAAATGGAAACACTTTAGTGCTGGCAGAAGGGTTAGTAAGTGGATCAATGAAGCTGAATTGACAGAACGGAAGCTAGCTTTCACATTTACAGTCATTATTTTTGACAAGGGTCTCAAGACAAGTCTTTTCAGCTAATAACATGGGATAACTGGGTATCACATTCAAAACAAGGATATGGACCCTACCTTACATTCATATAAAAGTTCGTTCAGGGCAGGTATAGTGGCCCACACTTAAGCATAGCACTCAGGAAGCAGAGAGGTGGGCAGATCTCTAAGTATTCCAGGCCAGGAAGGACTACATACCCTGTTATAGATAAACAAATAATAAATAAATCAGATCATTGACTTAAAAATGGAAGCACTAAAACTCTTAGAAGGAAATACAGGAGTAAATCTCTGTAATTTGGGGGTCACATAATGCTTTTTTGGGGGTTGAAACAGGGTTTTTCTGTGACTTTGGATGCTGTCTTGGAACTCACTCTGTAGATCAGGCTGACCTCGAACTCAGAGATCCACCTGCTTCTGCCTCCCCCGAGTGCTGGGATTCAAGGCGTGTGCCACCACTGCCCGGCACGTAATGCTTTTTTGGTAGGACATCATAGCACGAATGGAAAAAGAAAATACAAATTGTATTTTGTCAAAATTTAAAACTTTTGTGCTTCAAAGGACTGTTAAGAAACTGAAAATAAAACCCACAGAAAAGGAGAAAGTAGGGTCTTAGGAGGGTCTAGTGTCTAGAATATATAAAGAATACATAGAGGCTGGAGAGAGGGTTCAGCATTTAACAGCACGTACTACTTTCCCAGAGGACCTGAGTTCAGTTCCCAGAACCTAGCACCCAGCACCCAGCACCTAGATCAGGCAGCTTACAACCACCTGTAACTCCAGCTCCAGGGGATCCGACTCCTCTGCACTCACATACAGAGACACATAATTAAAAGTAATAAAAATAATTCAAAAGAGGCAGGGTGGGGTGGGGGGGGGTGGCACACACCTTTAATCCCAGCACTCCGGAGGAAGAGGCAGGCAGATTTCTGTGAGTTGGAGGCCAACCTGGTCTGCAAAACTACATAGAGAAACCTTGACTTGAAAAATCCAAAATGATAATAATAATAATTTAAAATACATATATCTCAATAAATTAACATGCTAATAATCCAATTTAAAAATGGATAAAGGTTGTGAACAAACATTTCTCTAGATGAGACATACAAATGGTGAACATTGCTAGCTACCAAAGAAATGCAAATGAAACCACAATGAGATGCCGCTTCACAGCCACCAGACTGTCTCTAATTAAGAAGTCATTGCTGGGCAGTGGCGGCACATGCCTTTAATCCCAGCACTTTGGAGGCAGAGGCAGGTATATTTCTGAGTTACAGGACAGCCAGGACTACATAGAGAAACCCTGTCTCAAAAAACAAAGCAAACAAAAGTCAGATAATTTGGCCAGCAGATAAGCCTAATGACCTGAGTTTGATCTTGGATCCCACATGGTAGAGAGAATTGACTCCCATAAATTCTTTTAACACACACACACACTTTTTTAAAGTCCAATGATAATAATGCGGTGTGTGGCACATGACTGTAATCCCAACACTTTGGAAGTAGAGGCAGAAGGATAAGAAACTCAAAGCCATCTTTGGCAACATAGCTTGAGTCCAACCTCGGCTACATAAGACCCTATCTCAAAATAAACAAATACTGTATATTTGTACATACACACATATATGACAGGATGTGATGGTACACACCTTTAATCTCAGCACTCAGAAGGCAGAAGCAGGCAAATCTCTCTGATTCTGATGCCACCCTGGTTTACATAGTGAATTCTAGGCCAGCAAGAGATATATGGTGAGACCCTGTCTCATATATGAATAAATAAATAAATAAATAAACAAAAGGATGTTGATGAAGACATGAAGAGACTTCATGCACTCCCTGTAGCAATGTAAAATGGTATAGTAGTTTGGGAAACCAATATGCTATTCCTTGGAAGGTTAGGATAAAGTTGCCATAAAACCCCAGCAATTCCACTCCTAGGAAAAGGGACATTCCATAACCAAAAGAAATGGAGACTTTATTCACACAAATCTTTATGGCAGCATATTTATAAGAGTTTAAAAGCAGCCAGGTGGTGGTGGCACACACCTTTAGTCTCAGCACTTAGGAGGCAGAGGCAGGCAGATCTCTGAGTTCAAGACCAGCCTGGTCTACAAGAGCTAGTTCCAGGACAGTCTCCAAAGTCACAGAGAAACCCTATCTCAAAAAACAAAACATAGCCGGGAGTTGGTGGCACATGCCTTTAATCCCAGCACTCGGGAGGCAGAGGCAGGTGGATCTTTGTGAGTTCGAGGCCAGCCTGGTCTACAGAGCGAGTTCCAGGACAGCCTCCAAAGCCACAGAGAAACCCTGTCTCGAAAAACAAAACAAAACAAAACAAAAAAAAAACACAAAAAAACACAAAAAAACAAAAACAAAAACAAAAAAGTAGAATAAGTGATGGATTTCCTGCTGAGCATGGTTGAGGCTTTAGATTTGATGCCGAGAACAGAGAAAGTCCAATGTCCTTCAACTATTGGAAAGGCAAAGTATACTTATAAAATAATGCATTGACTTACACTGTAGCATGTAAACCCGAAAACATTATGCTGGCAAAATAGCCAGAAAATACCACAATATTACATACTGTGTGATTCCATTTGTATGAAATGTCTAGAGCAGGCAAATCCACAGAGGTAGAACGTAGATTGGCAAAGACTGGAAAGGAATAGGAGAATAACTGCCCATTGTTTTTGTTGTTTTGATTTTTTCAGACAGTCTATGTAGCCCCTGGTTGTCTTGGAACTTGCCATGTAAACTAGACTGGGTTTGAACACAATAATCTGCCTACCTCCTGTGCTGAGATTAAAGTCACATGTTACCACCTCCAGAAAGTTTTGTTTTGGGGGTGATGTAAAGTTTTAAATTTTGATTTGGTGCTGACCTCAAGGATATATGAATATATATGTATATATGTGTGTATATATACAAACCCATATAAATACATGCATATATATAGCCACTAAGCTATGCACCTTAAAGGTTTTTTGAAGTTAGCTTTGGGCTGACAAGATGGCTCAGTGGGCACAGGCATGTGTTGCCAGGACACCTGAGTTTGATCCCAGGGCCCCATATGATGAAAGGCAAGAACGAGTTCTGCACCTTGTTCATGCATTCGGTTTCTAGAGCTGTGAAAACACCATGGCTGAAGGCAGCGCTGGTGGGAAGGCTTGGTTCATGTTATTCTAGGCACCACTTCTTCACTGAAGGAGATCAGGGCAGGAACGAAAGCAGAGCAGGCCATAGAGGAACACTGCTTACTGCCTTGCTCTCCATGTCTTGCTCAGCAGGTTCTTATACAACCCTGGGCCACCTGCCCAGGGGGTGGCACTGCCCCAGGGGGTTGGGCTGTCCTGCATCAGTCATTAATCAAGAAAATGACCCACAGACATGTCCACAGGCCAGTCTGGGGGAAGTGATGCAACTCTAGTTTGTATTAAATTGACTACCTATTTAACCTTCTGACCTCCATACTTGAGCACTGTAGCATGTGCTCACCCATAAATGAACTTGAAAAAAAGTAGGGCTACCTTATGTTGAAAAGTAAAATAGGTTTCCATTTTCATAGTGAAAAGAATCACCCCCCCCCCAAGTTCTTTGCTAGCTTAGCTACATTTTAGTATGTCTGAGGAGTCGAAGTGCTTATTTTCTGGTTGGTGTGTTTATTTGGTTTTATATTTTTCAAAATTACTCTCAAAAGAAGGCTGGGGGTGTGGCTTAGTGATAGAGTTCTTGTTTGGCATGGGCAAGGCCTTGAGTTAGGTGCCAAGAACAGGAAAAAAAGATTATTTTAAAGTATTTCAAAAGAGGAAGGAGGCAGGGAGGCAGGAAGGCAGAGAGGCAGGGAGGAAGGCAGGGAGGCAGGGAGGCAGGCAGAGGGGGAGGGAGGCAGGGAGGCAGGGAGGCAGGCAGAGGGGGAGGGAAGCAGGAAGGCAGGCAGAGGGGGAGGGAGGCAGGGCTAGGGATACTGTTAAATGGCAGAGAACTTGCCTGGCATGTGTGAGGCCCTGTATTCAAGCTCCATCACTGTTGAGAGGAGAAAGGAGAGAGGAGAGAGGAAAGATGAGAGATGAGAGAGAAGAGAGAGGAGAGAGGAGAGAGAGGAGGAGAGGAGGGGAAATTGTATAGACCTCGTTTTATAAGGTCATCTCACTGTTCCTATCTTACCCTGAGTCGGAAGATAAGAAAGTGTGGATGTTTTTATGACCGTAAGGACAGGGTATCCCTAATATGATTCATACCCCCCACAATCCTCACCGTCCTCACCTCTCCCTTCCTCCCTGTCTCTCTCATTCTAAGTTAGGGTTTCTTTTTAGCACAGTTGGGACCAGAACTCACTATGCAGCCCAGACTAACCCTTCTCCAATTTCCTGTAGCCTTTGAAGTAATTCATTTGATAAAGGTCTTGGGAGAATGACTTCTGTCACCTCCATAGCCTGTGGTCTCATCCCTGTGGGTAACCCAGTCAGCTGGAGTTTACCTAAAGATCCCAGCCAAATGCTCAGGAGAAAGTGAGGAGGAAGTCAATTTGGAAATCAAGGCTGGACTTACCCTGGGTGTTGACAGTGATTTATCTTAGCTGGCAATTTGTTCTGGGCAGGGAGTCGCCAGTGTAAACAGCATGTGTTGCTGGTTCTGGGGAGAGAAATAGAGGAGCCTGGACACCTGCAAGAGAAGGAGTGTTCTTCCAGTTGTGCTTTTCTGCCACCGATGGGCATGCCCAGGTTCCCTAATACCTAGGAAAACTTTCCCTTGTTCCAGGAACTGTGTTAGGTCCTTCATTACACAGAGAAATCATGTGACCCCTATCCGTAAGAAACAGGCAGACCTAAGACCGACAAGTTTAATAGAAAGCAGTTAGTGATAAAACAGAGAAATCATGTGACCCCATCCATAAGAAACAGGCAGGCCTAAGACCGACAAGTTTAATAGAAAGCGGTTAGTGATGAGCCCTGGAAGTTACAGAGCTCACGACCGGGACAGGTACACATCTGTTGTGAGATTTGGGGAAGGAAGGCATCTTAGATGTAAGAGTAAGCTAGGAAGGAAAGCTACTAGTCTCAGGGGAAAGAGCCACTTGAACAGAGGTGTGGAATCTGTATGTGGGAAATGCAGGCAGCGGAGGTGTTACAGGAGCAGCAGGCATGAGATGGGAAGTGTGGGGGGACCTGGCAAACGGAGAGGTGTGTGTGTAGAAGTGGGGGGCGTGTTATGGAAAAGGGCAAAGTCCTTATTCTGAACAGGAGGGAAATATCCACATTGTTGAAGGATTCCTACTGTAGAGCAGACCATGGGGGGGTGAATGACCCTTTCACAGGGTTGCATATCAGATATCCTGCATATCAGATATTTACTTTTCAGTTCATAACAGAAGCAAAATTAGTTTTGAAGAAGCAACGAAGTAATTTTTATAGTTGGGGGTCACCACAGCATGAGGAACTGCATTAAAGGGTCATAGCATTAGGAAGGTTGAAAACCACTGGGAGAGAGTAAAAGAGACAAGAATGAAGTCGGGGGACCAAGAGGTGATGACTAGTTGGCTGGACATAGGGTATCCGCAAAGCAGCCAGGAGGTGAGCAGTGATGGACGTGTGGTGGGTTTACGGGGAAGATACAAGTCCAGGGAGGAGTTCTGCTTTCTGGCTCGTGCGTGCTGGCTTCTGGCTTGTGCACGGGGCTTTGAATGGAGAGAACTACAGGGAAGGGAAACAAAGCTGATGATGGCTAATATTTGTCAGTTACATGGACCAGGCACTTGGGCTGAGAGTTTTCATTCATTTCCCCCCGTAACACTATAAAGCATATATTATTCCCAACTGATAGATGAGGAAAATGAAAGTCTGTGATCTGAATAGCTTGGCCAGATCTTAACACTGCACAGCTTCTGAATGGGGGAAAGAAGTTAGAATCAAAGGAATCCATTTCTGGAACACAGCTAACCATGAGGTGTGGGTATGCATGAGTGTGAGTGTGAGTGTGAGTGTGTGTGTGTGTGTGTGTGTGTGTGTGTATGTGAAGGGCCTGTGTGGAGAAATCTGGGGATGAGGAGAGTGTCCAGGTTCCAGGCCATAGTCAAAAACCATGAATATGGGTAAAGCTTTTGAGTTGAGGAGTGATCTGAGAAGCCCCAAAATTAAAACAGATGGAGGGTAAGGAGACAAAATCAATCCCTTCTGTTTTAAATCAGAAGACATGACTGATAGCAAAGAAATAGGAAGCCAGGCAATTTCAAACAGCTCTGTCAAATAGACTTCTCCAAGTTAGGTGAATATATTAATTATCATAGATGCAATGCTGCCTAGTAATTATCTTTGGTAGTAAGCATTTTGCATAAATAGCATTAATTGGTATAGGACAAGTTTTCTAAACACTGTTCTTGGAGATATTTAATGTTTGGATTAAAAAAAAAACTTTGGAGACAGGAATAGTGATGCAGACCTTTAATCCCAGCACATGGGAGGCAAAGGCAGAGGCAGACAGATCTTTGTGAGTTTGAGATCAGCCTGGTCTGGCCTACACAGTGAGTTCAAGGACAACCACAGCTACATAGTGAGACCCTGTCTTAAGAAAAAAAAGATTTTGGAGGAGATTGGAGCGCTAAAAGGGCACTGGCTACCCTTTTAGAGGATATGGGTTCAGTTCCCAGCACAACCATCTATAACTCCACTTACAGGGATCTGACACTCTCTTCTGGCCTCTATGGAGACCAGGCACACAAGTGGTACACAGACATACAAGCATGCAAACTACCCACATATGTAAAATGTTAATAAAGAGACAACATAGGAAAACGAAACAGAACTTTGGAGCTAGGTAAGTTTCAGAAATTCCGGTATGATTTAGGCAAAGAGCCAAGTCCCTTTTCTATACTTTTAGTTCACTGTCAGGTAGCACGATAGTCCAATGGTTAAGGCTGTAAGAACTTGGGACAAGCTGGGCTTGAATCTTGCAGATGACTTTAGGCAAACTACTGAAGTACAGTAAGCTAACAGCTACTCACCCAAAGGGGGGCAGTAATAATTCACTTCAAAACCTGTCCAGTGTGGTAGAACAGAGTGCTTTACGGTTGAAACACTTAGAACCTGGCACAGAGTGACGGCTCCAGACAGGTTAGTTATCTATAAACTATACTACTGTTTGGGGACCAAACTCAGGGCCTTGAGAATGCTGGGCAAGCACACACTCTACCCTGAGCTACATTCCCAACCTGAACCCATCGCTTTAACAAGTCTCATACAACACACACACACACACACACACACACACACACACACTTCAGTCCTCAAGTTTCTGAAGAGCCACAAGTCTGAATCTGACTTTTGTTGAGAGTTTTAGCTTCTATCTCCATCCTATTATAATCCACCCTAGGAATAATGAATCTGTCTTCTCTACCGCAGGAAGAGGAGTATGGAGAACACAGTAAGGTCACGAGCATTTGTATTCACCTTTGTGTACACTGGTTATATTTGGTTGCACGCCGGCCGGCCTGTATCAAGACATGCCAGGAAGCAAGTGTAGTGTGTTTCATACTAGCTCGCACCTGCTCCCCCCATTGGCTGGCTGTCCTTGAGCAGTGAACATCTACAATCATACACCACAGTTGTGACCTTCAGACCTTGGAAGGGGCTGGGAGCTAATGAGGGTGGGGAAAGAGGATATTAACTTTCTCCACGAAGTCCCTAAGAGTTCCTCCACAAAAGCCCTAGGTAGGTGACCCAACCTCTAGCCCCGCCCCACATCTGCCCCGCCCCTCATTCATGAACACAGACTGACATCAGAATGCCCCTGAATGAAGGGACACCCCAAGCCTGGCTGAGTCCCTGACTGAAGGTGGGAAAACACAGAGCTGTGGAATGCAGAAACCCGAGGGGATGATTTTCCAAGTTTTGTCTGACACATAATGAACACTCAATTATGATACTCCCAAGCAGGGCAGGCTAAGGCCACAGCAACTGACTTCTCACTCATGGTTTAGGTCAGGGGAGAGAAAAAGATGGACGAGGGAACTGTGCCAGGCAATTTGCTAATCTCCACTGAGTGGCCGAAATGTCTGACCTCCCACTGAAGACTCTGTTATGCCACCCTTTAGATAGACCCTTTGCGAATCAAAGTTTGCGGAGAAAAAGACATTTCCTGAGTGTCTTGTCTTTTCTGTGTTGGGATACCATGAACCATACCTTTGAGAACACATTCACGCACAAACACACGCACACCACACCCCAGTGTCCGTTGCCTGAAGTGTTCCAATTGTATCCCAAGGGAGCTAACCTGGCTGTACTGTCTATATTTGTGTCTTTTTTGAGACAGGGTTTCTCAGTGTAGCCCTGGTGGTCCTGGAACTCGCTCTGTAGACCAGGTTGACCTCAAACTCACAGAGATCCACTGCCTCTGCCTCCCAAGTGAGTGCTGGGCTTACAGGCATGTGCCATCAATGAAGAAGTTTTTAAGACAACTCAGGGCTCATACCTGAAAAAACCAATTGTTTAGTTCCCTGTTTAACTGAACAGATGGGGACGACTGACCAGAAAGGGTTCTCACTTTTATCTCTAAAGGAATCAGGGCCATAAACTGAAGAGGCTGTACCTCTATTGTTCTTGAAGACAGTGGTTAGGGCCCCAGCTGTGGGTCGGGAGAATGGCCTTGAGATTCGTGAACAAAGGCTGAGCTAGAATTAAGAGACCTTTCCAGAATGGGAGGGGGCAGGGGGCCCTTGAGGACTGTTTATGCCTTCACTTCACCTTGGGGCTTGGCTGTTCCGCTCTCAAGTGCTGTCGGAGGAGGGAAATACTGTCCTGTACTCCCCCTCAGGTCTGGTGATTTTTATCCCCTTCCCTGCCTCTTCCCAAAGCTGGGACCTGGAGGCCTTCTCTCCTGAGTCTGGGATCTCCATCCTTCCACTCTTCTGTTCTCCTTGGAACTGGCATCTCCACGCCCCTCTCTCTTTTCCTTTCTGGGCCCTACACTCTCTGTACCTCCCCAGGCTGGCCTCTCCAGGCCCCGGCGAGGGGGTCGGCATTCTCCTTTCTCCTCTTCCAAAGGCCACAGCTCCCTCCCCCCACCTTCGCCAGCTCCCCTTCCCCACCCCCTCCTCCGCCCCGAGGCATTGTGGGAGGAAACAAGATGTGGAGCGAGAGCGGCGCGGGGAGAAGCCCGCAGTGCGGGGCCGGGCGGGCGCAGCCAATGGGGAGCGCGGACGGCGGCGCGCGCGGCAGGGGGGCGGGGGCGGGGCTCTATTTCAGGGCCGCGCGTCGGCCGCGCTCAACGGCGGAGCGGAGCAGCGGACGGCGAGACACCAGCGGGAGCAGGCGGGCTGCCGGGTGGCGCGAGGCGGAGCGCGGGCGGCCGAGGGAGCTCGGAGGGCGGACGGCAGCGCGAGCGCTCGGCCCGGGGCTGCGGGAGCAGGGGGACGCCGCGGCGGCAGTGGCTGCTGCTGCAGGACGAACCCAGGGGACACCGCCCCTGCCCGCGCTCTGCTTCAGCCCAGCGCTGCTCCCCAGGGGCCTGTGCGGACTCGCCTGCGTGACGGTGAGCGGGGGCCCGGGGGCAGCCGGCGCCCTGCTCGGCGCGAGCTCCGGAGACCCTCGAGCGGCGGCTGGAAGCCCCGCAGCCCCCCGGGGGGGAGCCCGCCCGCGGTGCGGGGAGGCCTCTGGAGTCCGAGGCGAGCGGGTGGAGAGGGCCTGACGCGGCTCCTCCCGCCGCCGCCACCCTCCGGGGCGTCCTTCCTGCAGAGAGGTCGCCCGGTCACTCCGAGCGCGGCTCCAGGCCTGGAGGGGGAGGGCGGAGGACTGGCCGCGGCCTGCGCACCCGGCGGGGCGGCGGGTGTTTCTCGGTCCCCAGACGCTGCCCTTCGTGGTCGCTGCCCTCGGGAGGACGGGATGGGGTGTGTGCGTGATGCGGGGCCGGGGGTACGGCCCCCTTAGAAATTCAAAGCGAGGTAATAACGTTTGTACGTGTTAAGGAATGGTGCAAGGCGGTCCGTGTCATTTGGAAGCTTAGTCTTTTTTTTTTTTTTTTTGTCGCATGACTGGGGACACAGGATGAGAATTGTCCTGGAGTGCTCCTTTTGCGTTTTCACAGGAGCTACTGGCTCGTGACTCAGGAAGCTGGCTTGGGGCCCTTTTGGCCATCCTTTTATCTGGAGGCCCAGCTGCCCCCTCACCCCCCCGGAGGAAAAGCTAGCTGGGCATCTAGCTCCCTATCCTTTTCTCTCTGGCACCTTGGATAGAGGTTGCTGTGGCCTCACCTTTTCGCGACGCCTGAGGGGCCAGGGGTGAAGAATCGTGGCATTGTAGTCACAAGACCAGCATTATGTAATCGCAGGCTCTCCCTCGGAGAGTAAGATAGCTTTTAATTACTGTGACAAAGTTGATCCTTTGGACTTGAGGAATGAGGCAGTGAAGCAGGTGAGGGCTTTTTTTGGGGGGGGCAAAATGGTGCCAATTTCATACTTCGTCGGCTGTAGCCAGGCTCCACCCCTAACCTCTGGATTTGTAAACAGTGCCCCCTTCTGAGTGGTAACCTGGAACAGGTGACATTGTTGTTTCTTCACTTCTAGAAAGGTCTCGACACATCAGCCTTTTCTTTGCTCAAACCTCGTGGAGATTGTCCTTTTTCCTCATTCCAGCCGTCGTTTTTGAAATGTGATTGTTTGCCCAAGGTCATAGAGCTAGTCAGCTTTGAAGGCGTCTCTTGACCTTTTTCTTCACCACCACAGACCCCTTGAGGCTCCAAATTCTCCCTGGGGTAAGGGAGTGTGGGCTCCTGACCTAAACACTAGCCAGTGTCTGCTGCATTTGACAGTGTGGGGCCACGGTGCCTTGGGTTCAGCAGGCAGCCATCATGTATGCGTTCTGTGCATTTGACGGTCTGAGCTCTTCTCACCCAGTGGGTAGTGTGGACTGCCATAAGTAGCAGCTTGGGATGAGCAGCACTCAGGCTCCTGAGTGGCCAGCCGGGTGTTAGACTGACTCAGAGGGAGTAGCATCCCCCCCACCCCATTGGACAGGACCACAACCGGTGGTGCTTTTGGAGTTGAGGTGAGGGGAATCAATACTGCTGTTCGTGATGAGACTGGTCAAGGACGGGGCAGGCTTTCGTTGCTCGTTTCTTTATAAAGTAGCTCACATGGCTAGCGGCTGCCTGGGTAGAAGGGAACATGTAGCACTAGCTTCAGAAGCCTGGTTGCTTGCTGGATGGTAAATGCCATGGCCCAGGAAGCATGGCTATGAAACAAGGCTATAAAAATATCAGCAACCCCTTCCTCCATCCTCACACGTCAGTGTCGTGCCCCTCTTCATCTCCAGGGTTTTCTTGGCCCTGGGATTTTATTGGGTCTCATGGCAGCTGAGGCTGGCTTTGAATGCCTGATTTTCCTACTTCTGTCTCCTAAGGGTTAGAATTTTAGGTGTGAACCCCCACACCTGGCCCTGTTTTTATTTAAGGGAAATTTCTTGGCTTTCCTGTCTGGATAAAAAGATATTTCTCCAACTTTTCACTTCATTAATGAATTGTTAATAATTTTTACATGAGGAAGCAAAAATTCAGAGAAATAACAAATCATTGTTGGGGCTGTGGCTAAATGCTAGAATTTAAAATTGTGTTGCGCTTTGAAGACTGAACATGGTAATAAGGAGAGTGGAGAAGGATGGGATGTGATGACACAGGGCTGCGTCTCTATTTGAGCTATGCCAGCCAGCCCCCAATATTTAAGAGGTGGTTATTACCTCTTTGCCACCAGGCCTTGTGTACAAAAGTGGAGTTGGCCTTTTTTTCTGTGAGGGGACAGCGAGCGTTTTATATTTTAGACTTTGTGGGCAGAATCATACAGCATTCATTTCAAATGTCTTTAGACTTGAGGACTCATCTCTGCTGTTGTAACATGTTCCTATAAAACTTCAGTTTATAAAAACAGGTGTTGGTTGAGTCTGGCTGATGGACAACCAGCCCCCTTGCACAGACTTCTCCTTGTTTGCAGATGCTCTCATATAACCTTAGTTAATTCTTAAACAGTCTCCAATTGAGAACTGACCTCATTGCTAAAATGGAGGCAATCGATACAGAAGAGCCAGACGACTTGCCCAGACCACAAATGTTCAGAGTCAGGACCAGAAATCAGGGATACTAATTTCTTGCAGGTGTTTTCTACGATCAGCCCGGGGAATGTAATAATCATTAAATCATGTGCTGAGTCAATTCAGGTGTTAGCTTCTGGTTTTATACTTAGGATAACCTTGCAATCCCCATTTTACAGAGGGTGACATAAAACCCAGAGGTTAATTTACTTGCTGAAAGATAGTTAGGGGATGCATTGTTTACCACTTTGGTTATCCGTGTTGTGCTGTAGTTCAGAGTGTAGGAAATACGTAGCTATCAACTGGGCGTTGGTGGCTCATGCCTTTAATCCCAGCACTTGGGAGGCAGAGGCAGGCAGATTTCTGTGAGTTTGAGGCCAGCCTGATCTACAGAGCGAGTTCCAGGACAGCCTCCAAAACAATACAGAGAAACCCTGTCTTAAAAAACCAAAAAAAAAAAAAAAGAGTTAGAAAATTCATTTTATGTGATTTAAAACATGATGTCCTACATCTATATTTTTTAACTTGCCCTGTATTTCTAAGAAGTAGAGGCCATATTTCTGCAGAAAGCTTGTAAGTGTCCTTCCCCCCTTTTTCCTTTTTGAGACAAGGTCTTACTGTGTATCTCTGGCTGGCCTAGAACTCCCTTTTTAGACCAGGCTGGCCTTGAACTCGGAGATCCAACTACCTCTGTCTCCCAGGTGCTAGGATTTAAGGTGTGCTCCATCATGCCCAGCATGCTTCCACTTAATGTCTCTTGTCCGTGTGTCCTGTACTTCCGCCTTCTGTAGTACTCTCCAGCCCTGAGTCTCCCAACCGGTAGTTTAGTCTCTTGCCCACACTGACAAGTTGTCCTTTAACTTTTGTGCTCCTACTGCAGTGTCACGATGTCTGACCGGAAGGCAGTGATCAAGAACGCAGACATGTCTGAGGACATGCAACAGGATGCCGTTGACTGCGCCACACAGGCCATGGAGAAATACAACATAGAGAAGGACATTGCTGCCTATATCAAGAAGGTAAGCCAGGAGCATGAGGATTGACAGCTGAGCTGCATTGGGGGGGGGCAGGCAGTTCCTGAGAAAGCAGGGTTGCCCTTCAGACAAACCCTGCATCTGGGTGATGGGGTGATTCCAAATTGCCAAAAACAGTCATCGTAATGATTCCTGCTGAAGCTGTGTTACTTTTGCAAATCATTATGTTAGGCTGGAGAGATGGCTCAGAGGTTAAGAGCATTGACTGTTCTTCCAGGGGTTCTGAGTTCGATTCCCAGCAACCACATGGTGGCTCACAACCATCTACAATTCAATTTGGTGCCCTCTTCTGGCATGTAGGCAGAACATATGTAATGTGTATATATAAATAAATAAATCTTAAAAATAAATAAATTAATTAAAAAATCATTGTCACTGCAAGGCATTGGGAAAAGGGAATATACCATGCAGAGAAACTTCAGAACTAATATTACTAGCCCAGTTGAGAACTATTCAGTATTTAAATGTAAATAACGGGCTGGAGAGATGGCTCAGCCGTTAAAGGCTAGGCTCACAACCAAAAATATAAATGTAAATAACATTTGAAATGAATGCTGTATGATTCTGAATAGATTTTGGGGGAACTTTATCATTTATAGTGGTATAAATATGAAACATTTTCTTTTTCCTAAAAAAGGACTCAGGGACTCCTGCATATTTTGCAAAATGTACTATTCTTCTCCTTATATCCTCTTAATTTTCAAAAAATTATCTTATGTGTATGGGTGTTTTGCCTATATGTATGTCTTTGTACCACAGTGCATGTGGAGGCCAGAAGAAGCCATCAGACCCTCTGGGACTGGAGTTACAGATGGCTGTGAACCACTATGTATTTGGATGCTGGGAATTGAATCCAAGTCCCTGGAAGAGCAACAAGTGTTCTTAACTGCTGAGCCAACTGCAACACCTCCCTCCCTACATTCTTTGAAAGCATGAGCATGAAGCCTGACTGTGGTGGCACATGTCTTTAATCCCAGCACTCAGGAGGCAGAGGCAGGCAGATCCCTGAATTTGAGGCCAGCCTGGCTTATATGTCAAGTTCCAGGACAGCCAGGGCTACACAGAGAAACCCTGTTTCAAAAAAACAAGAAAAAAAATGAGTTTGAATATTCAGTCCTTTGATTTTTGTAGGGACTGCTAGGAAATAATAGAGAAGAAAATTTGTGTGGTTCAATATAGGTGTAGTTTTTCCCCTGAATATTTTTTTTATTTTATTTAAATGCATGGTTGAATATATACATATAGAACCCACAGATGTAGAGGGCTGCCTTGTAAATTTTATAAAATGGCTCAACATGAGAGTGTGGTTATTGAAACATTCTCAGTGGTACTGGTGAGATGGTGCAGTGGGCAGGGGTGCTGCCATCAAGCCTGATGACCTGAGTTTGACCCAGGAAACCCACATGGTGGAAGGAGAGAGTGAACTCCTGCAGGTTGTCTTCTTACTTCCACATGTGTGTTGTGGCATACTCAACCACTCCCAGATAAACAATAAATGTAAATATTTAAAGAAAGAAAAAAGAACTCCTAAATGAATGTCTGAATAGAAATGGTTAATATTGAAGAGGCAGCTGAACCAGGAGTAAGAGCATGGGCCCCTGATTTCCAGTCAAGACCCAACTGTATTGTTTTTTGGTTTTTGATATTTTATTGTATAAATGTTTTGCCTTCATGTTTGTCTATTTGTCATATGTGTGCTTGGTCCCTTTGGAGGTCAGGAGAGTGCGTTAGATTGTTTGAAATAGGAGTTACAGGTGGCTGTGAGCCACTGTGTGGGTGCTGGGAATTAAACCCAGGGCGTTTACAAGAGTAACCAGTGCTCTTAACTGTCTCCATCTTTGTGCCCCCCAAGATCATGCCTTAACTAGAGGCATAGCCCAGCCATTGGCCTTCTAAGCTCTGACATTTTAAGAAGGATGCATAGGAGTGTGGTGGCTGTCTGCATAGTAAAAAGATGTCCCCAGTGGTGGCTCCAGTTCTCAGAACTCTTGTTTTCCTACCCTTGAAGGGTAGAATGGGATATGGGAGTCATGAGAAAATCCCTATGTATGGCGCTGGGGTACAGAGTCAGTCCTACATGGTTAATGTCTTTTTCAGGCCACCCAGAGAGAGAAAGTAGACTCATAGTTTCTCAGCATGAGAGTCACCCTCATGTGACCCAGGAAAGTGAGGATAATGATTCTCCTTCAGACAGAGTCTAGAATCAGCATTGAAATTATATTTGGCTTCCTTTGTTCCTTAGTACCTCCAGGAACTGTGGTGTGGGTGCTTTTAGGATTAGACAAGGATGTGGAATATCCAGTGGACCAGAGAGCTGTGAGGCAGCCTTGATGTGCCCATGTGGAGGGCTACTGTCCTTTCACAAGCTGTGGGCTGAGCCCCGTGTGCCAGGGAACTGCACATCACACGAGGTGCCATACAACTTCTCCCTGGTACTTCAGCAGTTAGTCCCCATTTGTTCTCAGTGGAATGTTGGTTTAATGTGGGAGGCAGTGGGTGACCAGGGCCCACTTTACTATGCTGTAGAGCATCCTGGTTACTCAGATTATTATCTTGACGAATCATAGGGTGGGCAGGTCTGGGTGCGGGGTAACTAGAGAATGGAGAGATGATCAGGGTGTAGACTGCTAGAGGCTTGGCAGAGAGGAATAATGGAGCCTTTGGGATTCCATTATTGATGAGGCTAAGAGTATCATTGCCAACCTTAGAACTTGAGCCTCTGAGGCCCTGGGCTGGGGTGGCAGAGTTGGGGTTGGACACTGGACAAGGTGGGTGGGAACAATTAAATGTATGTGCTGGGAGTGTGACTCATTCTGAGTTCTTTCTCCAACAACCCTAACCACCTTTTCTTTTTTTTTTCTTTTTCTTTTTTTTTTTTTTTTTTAGGAATTTGACAAGAAATATAACCCTACCTGGCATTGTATCGTGGGCCGAAATTTTGGCAGCTATGTCACACACGAGACAAAGCACTTCATCTATTTTTACTTGGGTCAAGTTGCAATCCTTCTCTTCAAGTCAGGCTAGGTGGCCAAGATGAAGGTGTCAGTGGCGGCGGCAGCGATGGCAAGCAGGCGGCGTTGCTGGAACTGTTTTGCACTGGGGCCAGCATCAGGAAGTCCTCTCCAATGGCTGTGCTACTGCATGGACTGTATACTCGATTTCATGTGTGTGTCGCAGTAAACAAAAACCAAACTTCTTTCTGTTTAGTTGCCTGGGGAAGAAGGCTGCTTTATGTTTATTTTTTTTAAGACTTTAAAAAATATTTTTTGGTTGTACTGCACTAGGGACTCTCTCCCGCCCCTCCTTTCTCTTCCTCTCCCTGTGTAAAATAAAAGGCCCTCAGCAAAGCCCAGGAGACTAGGAAGCTGAGGAGTAGAAAATAGGGGTCTGGAGGTGGAGGTAGAACAGCGGCTGCCTCCTGTGGTAGATGCCGCTTTAGGAAGGCCAGGAGGCTGTGAGGACAGCCTTAGGATTGGCAAGGAAGGAGAGGGATAGGAAGTTGGGTGCAGGGACTGCTTTAGTACCAGGGAGAATATTCCACTGAACTGTGACTTTATGGCTTGAGGTAGGGGTGGGTGGGTGGGTACAGTCTTTAAGAGGCCCTGAGATGTGTTTGTGGTGTGGGAGTGGGGAGCAGACTTGTCTTATGTCCTTGTCAGGGTCTCTAAGTAAGGGCTGTGTCTTTGTGGATTACCCTCCTTTATTCTTCCAGCCAGACGGAATGTTGGGAGGATGCTGGGAGTAGGATTAGCTGACTTTTTCCCTTTACATTCTTCTGTCTGCTCCCTGCTTAGCCCTCGTTTTTTCTCATTCCTCAGTTCTCTTAGAGCAGCCCTGTTGTTGGCTGGCAAGGGAATTTCTGGTGACTGTAGTTCCTTAGTTAGGTCTTAGCGATCAAACCAAATCAGTGTCCCCTTGATTCTTCCTTGTGTGTGTGTGTGTGTGTTCATCTGTGTGTGGGGGGTGGGTCTGGGGTAGAAGGGAGGGAAGGGGCAGGATAAGTGGAATCTAGGGTGTATGGGGAGGTGGGGGAACAGTTAGTTCTAAGTGGGCTTTCATGTTACCTGTTGAGGGGTGAGGACAGGTTGGTGTCACACCATCCCCTCCCTCAGCCTTCTAGCTTGGACACCCTGATTTGCCCCATGGCTGTCTGTTTCTGGGAAGGTTTTTGGAAGGTCACCCAGGACAAGATGGCCATGCTGCCATTTGCCCTGGAGTTGGATCTGTGGGCAGGGAGCAACTTGTGGCTGGTCCCAGCCTCTAGTGGGACATAGGAATGTAAGAAATGAGGGCAGAGAGGGCCTCCTTGGAAAAGGTCTGAAGTACAGTAATGAAGCTCTGGGAGTCAGGTGGAGAAGGATTGTGAGTGGGAGGACCTACCAGAGACGGTGCGAGGGAAAACTCGGCTGTTGTGGACATGGTTAGGGTGGGTGGGGGGTTGCCATTGCCAATTGAGCTGCTGGTTCTAATGAATCACATTCAGAACATGCAGTAGGGTTGACACTGTAAGGGGTGGGGAAATTTAGCTTTTTTGCCCCCAGCCCATTTTTGGGGGTGGGGGAAAGCAGGAGAATGCCCCTTCCTCCCAAGCCCTTTGTGTGTATTGAGCTTTTTTATTTCTTAAGTGCTGGCAGGGGAGGGTGGGAACTGGTGGTGACTGAGTTCCCTGTTCAAACCTTTCATTGGGTAAAGACTGAATGATTTTAGGTTTTATTTTTCTTACGAATGTCCAGATCTGTGTTTCTCCCTGCCCTCCAAGACTGGCCAGTTGGAAGTGTCTCGATTTTGTTCATCTCTCATTTCTGGTGCAGGGACTGAGACCCTGCCACATCTATGCTCTGCATCCACGCCTCTTTTGGACATTAAAGGTCGATTGATGCACTTCTGAGCTGTTGGGGTTTCTTTGGGGTTGAAGGGTTGGTTGGCCTGATGCTGTTGGTGCCACAGTGGGTGTGGGGTAGGGTGGTGGTTCCTGAGTGAAGTAGAATGGGGATGGGTTACTGATGAGAATTGGAGGTAGGCCAGGCTTCACATTCAGAGTTGGTTAGCTAGGTCTTGGAGGGGGAAAGACTGCCTCTAGGACAGTCAGGACAGACAAGGGATTAATTAAGAAGGGACTGAAGATCCTGCCAAGTCATCTACTTCTGCCCCACATGACGCCTGTGACAACAGTATCTACACAGGTAAATCTGGTCTCATTCTGCAAGGCTTTTGGTGACCAGTTCTATCTTGGATCCTGGAAGGGAATGATAAACAGGGTCACATGAGAGGAAGATGGAAACGAATTCTTGCAGAGGAAACAGCCTCTCAAATCTGGCCAGGTCAGGCAGAGAAAAGGGGTGGAGTGTCAATCTCTGTACTTTTTCCCATTCCTGGGGCGCTTCTAGCCAGTTGAGAACAGTCTCAAGGGGGATCGGCCCCCTCCCTCTAGAGAACAAGAGCATCGGGAATGAATGGATGGTACCTCGTGGAGACAACAGCCCCCTAGTGTGCTGCTGTCAGTCTCCCTGGCCCTGAGCCCTAGAGACCTTAGCCTAGGCCCAAGGCGAAGCTATTGTAGTCTTGCTCAAATACCGATTCCTGGATACAGTGCTCAAATACCGATTCCTGGATACAGTGCACAGTGGTGTGTCCTCCCACCGTTGCCCTGACGACCTCTCATTCTGCATGGTCTCTGCTACCTGCCTTGTTTGTTTCTCTGCCCGCATCCTCCACTGCTTTATCGTGAAGCATAGCTGTGCCCATCTGCAACAAGTGCTGAAAAAGTATTTCCTGACCAGATGGAAACAGTATTCGACAGTCTAGGCAGCCCCCTTGATGCAGGTCACCTGACCTTCTGGAAGAATCTTGGAGGGGATAGCAAGCTTGAGACCATCTTGTTTGCCATCTCTGCAAGAGGAATAATAATTGTACGACTGGAAATGAGTAAGAGCTCCCGGGTGCTGTGCTCTCTAGCTCCATCTGCAAACTCCAGCCGTGTGAGGAAGTTAGCTGTTATGAGAACAAAGGTGTGCAGCCTCTATACAAATGACAAAAAAGGCAGGCGCAGAGTCCTGTTGGGTGGGGCTGCAGGGCTCAGCCTCTGCCACAGGCATTGCAGGCACCCAGATCACATGGCCTGAACAGTGACAGCAGCCCAGACCTGTCACAGAGATGCCTCTCTTGGGATGGCCTTAAATTCAGCAGTGTTGGGGACCCTCAGTGAGTGAGTAGCACACTCAGGTGAATTTTCATTATATTTTGTGATACTGGATGGAACCCAGGTCCTCATAATAGGCAAGCACTCTGCCACTGCACTGCAACCCCAGGCCACAAGGGACAAAGATAAGGACTCAGAGTCTAAAGAGGCCCACTAGATATTCAAGGTTCTTGAGGGGCCCAACCAACATTTTTTTTTTTTTTTACTTTGTCATAGCCCACCCGGCACTAACGTTAAAGCCTGATGTATTAGCAACTGGATTTTCTGTGATAATTCAGGTATCTTACTAGAACCACATAGTCCTATCAGTATAGTGTCAACCATGGAGTGGACCAGTGTGACATCTGGTGGTTGGGAAAGACAGGGTCCCTGTGAACTAAATGACAAGGTAGGAGAGTTATTCCCTAGATGGAGCCCAGTGGGAATCAGCGTTGGTGTTAACAGTGGAGTGCCCACAGTTTCTGTTCTTTACAAACAGGTATCGAGAAAGGTGTTTGCTCCCTCAAACACTGTGTATCAGATGCCTGGGAATGTGTTGAGCAGGCCCTTTCCCAGGGTAGACATCAAGACATCCCACTGTTTTGTGCTGGGAATTGAAGCTCTGAACTGTTATTTATTTTTTTTTGAGATATGGTTTCTCTGTGTAGCCTTGTCTGTCCTGGAACTTGCTCTGTAGATAAGGCTGGGCTCAAATTCACAGAGATCCACCTGCCTCTGCCTAGACGTATGCCACCACTGCCCAGCTTCTTTCCCTGTTTTAACTGTATTACTACTTGTTGCTGTGACAAAAATCCCTGACCAAGGCACCTTAAGGAAGGGCTTTCTTCAGCTCGTAGTCCTGGAACCCAGGCAGCTGGTCAGTGCCTTCAGCCAGAGCAGAGGAAGGATGCTCATGCCTCTCACTGTTTTCTCAGCTGAGGATCCCAGCCCATGGGACGGGGTCACCCCCAGTTAAGGTGGCTCTTCCCACCCCAGTGACTCTGTTGAGGCCTGTCTTCTGGGTTATTTAAAACCCTGTCAAGTTGACAGTTTCTGTGATAAAATACCTGAACAAAAGCAACTTCAGAGAGAGAGATGGTTTATTTGGCTATCACAACGAAGTCAAAGCAGGGACTGGAAGCAGCTAAGTCCCACCCACAGCCAAGGGCAGAGAGAATAAATGCGTGCGTGCTTCTGCTCAGCGCCTCTTCTTGTACAACCCAGGGCCATGCAGCACCTACATCCCAGGGAATGGTGTTTTCCATTCTTCCATTCTGGGGGTTCTTCCCACCTCACAGTAAGTCAGGACAATTCCCACTCACAAGGCCACAGGTCAACTTAATCTAGACAACCCCGGTGACAACCTACCTGACAATTACAGGTAACATCAGGAGAGTATGGTGTGCACCTTTAATGCCAGCACATGGGAAGTAGACGCAGGTGGATCTTTGTGAGCTGAGGCCAGCCTGGTCTACAGAGCAAGTTCTAGGCCAGCCAGAGCTACATAGTGAGACGCTGTCTCGAAAACAGTAACTGTCACAACTGTCTGTACCCTTGTCAACTTCACAAGTGTATCACCTTAGGCCACAACCTTCCACCCCTTGTCCCCAAGGCCTCATGTTTATCTCATAATGTAAACTATAGTTTAGCTTTAAAAAGTCCCTTAGTGTCTTAGGGTTACTGTTAGACACCATGACCAACAGTTCATCACCAAAAAGTCAGGGCAGGGACTCAAGCAGGCAGGAATTGGAGGCAGGAGCTGATGCAGAGGCCATGAGGGGTGCTGCTCCCTGGCTTGCTCCTCATGGCTTGCCCAGCTTATTTTCTCTTAGAGCCCAGGACCACCAGCCCAGGCATGGCACCTCCCACAATGGCTGGGCCCTCCATCAATCATTAATTAAAAAAATGCCCCACAGGCTTGTCTACAGCTCAGTCTCGTGGAGGGAATTTCTGAATTGAGGCTCCCTCCTCTCAGAGGACGCTAGCTTGTGTCAAGTTGACATATAGTTAGCCAGCACTCCACAGTCTTTAAATATTCCAGGGCTTCAGCTGGGCTGTGGTGGCACACACCTTTAATCCCAGCACTGGGGTGGCACAGGCAGGCGGATCTCAGTGAGTCTGAGACCAGCCTGGTCTACAGAGAGTCTCAGGACAGCCAGGGCTACACTAAGAAACTGTCTTGAAAGGCCCCGCCCCCCCCAAATTACAGTATTTTACAAGTCCAAATTGTCCCAGCTTTGAGCTCAAATAAAATCAAGCAAGTTTTGTACTTTCAACACACAACAGAACAAAAATAAACTTTCGCATTCTAAAATGAAAGGCTAGGGGCATAGCAAAGACAGCGCCCCACAGCAAAACTGAAACGCAGCAGGGACAGCGACCAATCTTGGAGTTCTAGTGTCCAACATCTGGGTCTTGTAATGTAGTCTCAGGGCACCAGAGAGATTGGGTAGCATCTCTGCCCCTTGCTGCATACCCAGCTTCCCAGGCTTGGGCCTCATCCACTCCACACCTGCAGTGTACCGGGGCAGACAGACCATGGTCCTGGCAGCTCCAATACCCTGAGGTCCCTATTGCAACCACGGCTTCACCCTCACGACCTCACACACTTTCCTTTCAGGGCCTCGCCGCCCGAACAAAAATCCTGTCACAGAGTGTCCGGCCTCAGCTGCTCTCCATGGCACCTCTAATCTGGCATCTTTGCCTTTGAAGTCGGTACCACATGGATAATGCTTTTCTCACCACCAGCTTGAGATGGGGTCTGGCCCCCTTGGACCACGGCTATATCTATTTCCTGGAGTTGGCCCTGGAGAAACAGTTTCTTAGTTACTTTTGAGGAGCGGAGAGCCCCATCAATCTAGGCTTTCTTCCTCTAACAGTTTCAGATCCCCGTAAGATGGAGGCTGTGAGGGGTGGGGGCCTTGCCCCCAGGACATCTCTCCCAGTGTCCCGCTACGGCGCTTGAGGGCTTGAGGTTTCGCTCCAGCGGTCCTGATTACAGCTGCTTTCTCATCGTCAGCCAGAATGCGCTCCCATATTGCAGTTCCTTCTGCCAAACAAAGGAGCCCATCTTTCACTTCAGCTCCATTCCGAGTCTCAGGTCAGGCAGAAGAAACCCAGATTCTCAGCCAGAGCATCACGTAAATGGCCCCGGTCCCTGTCCCTGCTAAAGTTCTTGTCCCCGCTGGATTCATGAGCTGGGTTCCCACAATCACTGTCTTTCAAGCTCCTACTAGAATCAAATTCTTCTTCCCGCATTCAACAGCTTTTCTAGCCCAATTTGCGGAATACTTTCGCATTCCTCTCAAAAATGCTTCCAAAGCCTTAAAAGCCACATGGCAGGGTTATCTTAGAGAAGACCCCACTTCTTGGCTACCATTCTCTATATCTGTTTCATTTTGTGACAAAATACCCTGACGAAAACAAGCCAGGGGAGAAAGGGTTCATTTGGTTTCTAACCCTGAATTACAGCCCATCATTGCAGGGAAGCCAAGACTCAAAAGCAGTCAGTCCCGCAGGGCGGTGGTGGTGCACGCTTTTTATCCCAGCATCTCAGGGGACAGAGACAGGATAGGCTCCAAAGCTACGGAGAAACCCTGTCTCAGAAAACAAAAAACAAAACAAAACAAAACAAAAAAGCGGCCAGCCCCATCCACAGTCAGGAACAGAGGAACAGAGGGGGACCCACGCACGCTCATGCCCC